ACTCCGTTCAGTCCATGGAATTGGTACCAACACTACAAGTTTAAACCATTAACACAATCCCTGGCCACCTTACTTAACAATCAGCCGTCTCTCCTTAGCTCACCGCAGGTTGACACACCATTCAAAACTAAGACATAAGCAAGGGTTAAGTCATGAGGGGTCTAAGCAGCAGAAGTGAGTACACAAGTTACTCCAGACGGCAGGCTACTGCACTCAAACTGGTTAATAATTTCTAGTAATGCAGCTTCTTGCTCTAACCATCCCTTGAGTTTCCCTCCCCCTTTTTAAAGAGCACAGTGACTTCAAAGTCACAGGCAGAATGTCCAGGGAGACCAAGATGTTTCCCATCTGGTTTCTTTATGTGCCCATTGCCGGCATTCTGATTTATGCCAGTTTCTTCACCTGTGCAGAGATTGTTCTCCCTGGCCTACATGAATGGGAACTGTGGGCGAAGAACATACTGGATGGCATGCCAATCTTGCCAGGGCCGGTCGCAAGGCCAGTTGCCCGGGCATATCCAAGAGGTGTCACTTTTACATCTGATTTACATGGCAGCCGGGGGGCTTGGCCTCTGTGCCCACTTGTCCACTGCTTACCAATATACACCTGCAGATGGAAATGTTTAAAAAGACAGCAACCCTCTTTCTATGATCTACTGATGTTGCATCTGGATAAAACCACAAACTTCATGTGCACAAGCTTTTTTGTTTTAATCTAACCATCACCCTTTGAAATAGGTTTGCCTGAAAGATTGCAACATGCTCACAGCAGCCTCCTGCCAAATGTCTTATCCTTGGTGTGGGTAAGGGCACAGAAACTAAGTTCCCACATGTGCAAAGAACATTCTGTACGCTTTACCAAAGTGGCTTGTCAGGGCAGATTTCGGGCAGCAATACTGGAGATGTCAGCTCGAGGGCAGACTCAGATAATTCACTTGCAAGAGGTGCCATAACAGCAATAATTCTGTTGACATAAGGTGCCACAGAACAAGCAGTGGCTTGATAAATCTGGCTGGGCAGGTACAGTCATATGGTGGAGGATATTTTTAAGTCTTCGCTGTAGTAATCCAGAGTGTAGGTGGGAAGCTACAATAAAGGCAAGAGGGAAGGCCAAAATGCCATCAGCTGTGGACTCTGGCAAGGCTGCTTTTCTGGGGGGCAGGACTGGCTCAAGTGCTCTGAAGAACAAGACACAGAATAAGCAGAACTGCATAGTTGAAAGGAGAGCTAAGAGAAGAGAAACACCAATACATCTTTTACTCAACCCACCACTCTACTTTTGAAATATATTTAGGATTACTGGTTCCTTAGACGTCAACTGGGGAATAGGTAATGTCTGTGAACACCGGAGGCAAGCAAATGTCACCTCCCACCTTCATCAAGGGAGAAAACATCTGGGCAAGTATCAACAAGTCAGCTTGACATCAATACCAGGAAAGGTTCTAGAACAGGTCATTAAACTGTCAGTCTTTGAGTACTTAGACTAGAACACTATGATTTCTAAGACCCAGCATGGATTTCTCAAAAACAAGTTATGTCAGATTCATCTTGCATCTATCTCTTCTTTTTTAACAGAGTCACAATCTTGGTAGATAAGGGCACTGCTATCAGTACAGCACTTCTTTGATTTTAGCAAGGTTGTTGACAATCTCCCTTGTGATATTTTTGCAGTTAGGCTGGAGAATTAAATGATGCCACTCTGATGGATTTGGTGCTAGTTGAACTGGACCAAAACAAAGAAGACAATAAGGAAAAATGTGATTTTCTACATTTAAGCAAGAGACATTGATGCGCGAATGCAAAAATAGTGACAGCTGGCTTGGCAGCGATAGGTATGAAAATGATCCAGCAGTCTTTAATGGATCACAGGCTAAATACAAGCCAACAACATGAAGTGGCAGCAGAACAAAGAGAAGTCAATACTAGGTTGCATCAATAAAAGTATAGCATCCACAATAAGGGAAGTGTAGCACTGCCCTGTTCTCTCTTGTCAGGCTATTTAAAAAAAAATACTGTGACTAATTCTGGGCACCACAGTTTGTGAATAATATCAACGATCTCAAGCATGTCTAGAAGAGGACAACCTGCATGGAACAAAGTCTACAATCCATGCTCTGTGATGAACAGTTGAGGGACCTGAGTATGTTTAGGAGGTGATATGATACATGATGATGATTATCTTCAAATACTTATACGGCTGTCATGTAGAAGTGGAGCTCACTTATCTTCTGTAAATCCAGAGAGTAGGACACAAAAGTACTGTAATGATTTTAGATCACAGAAAAAGATGCTGAAAGAACTTATTGGCAGTATGAGCTGTCCAGCAACAGAATAGACAACCTCAGAGAGAATTGCAGACTCTCCTTCAGTGGTTAGGTGTGGATTTCCTGTTTCAACAGGAGAGCTAGACTTAGTGAATCTGGGGTCCATTTTAGATCTACCATGTTATGATTCCAACTCAAGTTGGAAGCACGTGTCACGCCAATATAAAGGTCTGCTGTAATATGCACAGGATGTGGGAATAACAGCAAACTGGTGTGCAGAACACTCTCACACACATCAGTAATACAATTCTATGAAAGCAAAATGCAGATCTATTTCAACACATAAAGAATGCAGGCCAGTAAAACAGAGCCAAAGTGAATTCTGTCCTTGGAATGCTTAAATGTTCCGTATTACCCTTTGCATGTAAAAACTGCTATTACGGCCTCATTTTCCAAATACACAACAGATGGATTCAATGTTCTGCTTTAGTGTATACAACTATAGTCTGCAACAGATTTTCACTTAAGACTTGTGTGCTTTTTGCTGCCCAAGTCCCATGGCATTCCTAGGAAGTCCCACGTGCATTATGTAGTTGAAAGTCCTACATTTTTTGTCCTCTATTGTGGAAGCAATACAAAACTGATATCCTTTTAGATTTTCAATTTAAATATATCTCCCTTAAGAAGCTGTTGCAACAATAAGAAGCAACACAAACACAGGTTTCAGAAGATTAAAGTATATAAGCTAGCACAAGAAATGAAAACAATGACAGTAGATTCAAAATAGCACCTTTTTTCAGTTTAAAGTGTTACGATTGGTAATTCTTAGTCATGGGGAAAACATTGCTCTCTCCTGGTGCCCAAGTGTTATTGTTATGACTTACACACTGCCCCATAGTGCTAGAGCAGTCTCTGGGCACTTTACAACGTAATATTGCAAACAATAATCCCCTACCCTGCTCCAGCAAGCTGGGTACTCATTTTACCAATCTCTGAAGTATGGAAGATTGGGTCAACCATGAGCCAGCTACCTGAACCCATTGGCAACTGGGGATCGAACTCAGATTGTGAGCAGAGGCTTGGCTGCCATACTGCAATTTAACCACTACACCAGGGCAGTAAACAGGCCTTTGTGGGGAGGTCATTCCAAGGACAAGAAGTCACCACACTCTGCTTATCCCCTGCTACACTTGGGTCAGCAGGACCCCAAAAAGGAGATTTCAGATAACAGTCTCAGGGGCTGAGCAGACTGATGGTGGTGAAGGTGGTCCAACAGCCATCTGGGTTGATTTCACAGGTTAAGAACAGTACCCTTCCTTTAGAATTGCCAGTGTGGTGCACACAGGATTAAAGATGCCCATACGGTCATTTAATGTGCATGGCTAAAAATGCACAAGAGAATACAATTTTTCATAAACATTAGGGTGGCAGAGAAGTACAAACTAATGCTGAAACATGATGGGAATGAACAGGACAGAGGAAATACAAGAGTCTGAGAAAAGTAAGCTTGAAAGATTTGCCCCCCTATATTCATTCATTCATTCATTCATTCATTCATTCATTCATTCACTTTATATCCCACCCATCTGGTATATTCTACCACTCTGGGCGGCTATATTATCACCTAAAATGGAACTCAATCAATAATGCTAAACAGGGCAGGTTGAGGGAGCAAATCACACACCCCAGATTTATGTTGTTATGGAAACATTCCTTTTACAAAGGACTCATGTTTACTTAACAGCACCCTGCTATGTTTGGCAGGACTTACTCTCAGGTACGTGTGGATGATGGAGGAGCACCTGTGTTAAGTCATGACAAAAGTTGGACCCTTTCATCTGTCTGATACAAAGTTCCACATATTCTCTATTAAGGTACCACGGGCATCATTGAGGAAAGGTGACAGAAACACACTTTTCCTGGAATCAACTTGGGCCCCAACTTGAGTCAAAGCTTCTTGCATGGGGCTAGGCCTGCAAGCAGTCATACAGCAGATTTTAGCTGTCATGGAAGGCCAGGAAATTATTTGTCATCATGTTTATTCTTACTATTATCTATAGTAGCAGGAATAAGGACAGATCTTAATTGGGCTTTCTTTCTGATGGACAAAAATTAAGTAACTGGCTTTGAATACTAGAAGGGACAGGGGCACCATGTGCTGGTTTGGCTCAGGCAGCGAAATGTCAGAGGCCGGCTCTGACCTGGCAAATGCACCCTTAAAAAGAGAAAGAAGCGGGGAAGATTTCCACCTTTCTCTTCCTTCTGCTGCAATGAGTAAAAGTCTTTTGGCTTTTGCTCTGTGCAGCATATGAACTGCCCCTCTGAAACTGGCTGCTCCTGGGGACATTAAATGCAAAGTGACAAGGTTTTACCAATGCTCAATTACCCTTCTTCCACCAAGCAGTCACCAAAGCATGACAGTACTACAGCCATTCACATGCAGCATAGCATCTACCACTCAAAAGTAGACCCAACAGAAGAAACCAAAACAGAACTGTGCCATTAAAGGAAAAAAAGAAACAAAATATCCCCCTCTAGTGGTCGAAGGCAGAATAGCAGCTTCCCATTAGTTTCTATGGACGGAAAAGAGCAGATACGGATCAAATGATTTTCAATGCATTCCTATGGGAAATGCAGATTTGACCTGAGAACTTTTTGACTTGAGAACCGCCTTCCAATACGGATTAAGTTCTCAAGTCAAGACCCCACTGTACCACTCAAAAGCACACCCAACAGAAGAAACCAAAACAGAACTGTGCCATTAAAGGGGATAAAGCATCACGAGGTCTTATTAGCAGAGCAGATCCAAAGGTTGCCATTTATTTGCAGAATATCCCCTAGGATCCTCCTGTGATATGGTGGAAACTCAATGTGATGTGAATTCCAAGTTGTGTCTCTTGGCAGCAGCTGTCCGGAGTCTAACTGCCCGTTATCTGTTGAGATAGGAGAGAAATAAGGAAGCATCTCTCACAGAGGGCATACAGACTCAAAACTGAGGCCAGAAAATACATGACAGTTAACCCACAACTGAAGAGGAGAAATTCTTAATCTCTCTGAGCATCCAGCGTGTCACAGCAAAAACTTGTCTCCCCTTTGGGATTATGCAAAATACTTTGCTCTGTTGGTAACTAGACTTCAAGATATACGCATTTATTGGAATCTCATGATTTCACAAATATGGACAGACTAAGTTCAATCACCTTTCCTCAATATTAAGTGCGTTCAGCTCTAATGTCAGGCTAACTCTAACGTGTGCTTCTGGCCTGAGCTAACAGACATTCCCTGGAGTTTTGTGAGGGAGCTCAAGAGATCCCCTACAGAAGTCCCAATGCTTCCATGCGACAACCCTTAGAAGCCCTTAGGGAAGTCATGACAATAAAACTGATGCAAGACAGATAACTTCAACAGTTCAGACAAAATAATGTAATAGTCGGCAATCCTTACTGTTCTTCATAGCTGTATGAGAATGAACATGTGACTGTTTAGTAGACATTTATCTGATCTGGTCACTCATAAAAAAACTTTAGACTCCAAAGGAATGCTTTACAAAGCTTGTCTTCTTTTCCCTTAAGGCTACAAGTGACTAAGCAAGTGTGCCATCAGATGATGCTTTATCTCACAAGTTGAACTGTTTTAGGAACAGACTAGTTCACTCAATGTTCTAATGACCATATGATGTACAGGCAACCACAAGCCTGCCTGACCATTATCCATGTATATCCTTACCTTTGGGGGCAGCTTGTTTTTTCAGAGTGGGTGGGATAGCTTCATTGAATTTCTGTTTCTGGCATGTATGTCTGCTGGTATTGAACCAATACTGATGTTCATATAACAATTTGCTCTAGCTAGCTGCAGCTAATAGATGAGATGCCAATGCGCACCTCAGTTGTCCCATCAGGTATACGTCCAGCCATGGACCAAGATGCACCCTGGCAACTTAGACAAATCTTACACAAACACCAACAGGAACCTGGCTCACTGTCTTTCAGGCACCTGTAAAAACTGACATTCCCTTTTAGTAAGAATATAACTCCCAAGTTAAACTACAGTGGTCCCCGGTTAACGTTTATCCTGCTTGATGACAAATCCGCTTCACGATAAAATGTTCGCGATCACTTTTGTGATCGCAAAACGATGTTTTAATGGGCAAAAACCGCTTTACGAGGATCAGTTCCCTGCTTCGGGAACCGATTCCTCGCATTATGACGATCAAAACAGCTGATCGTCGGGTTTTCAGAATGGCCACCAGCTGCTCAAAAGGGCTCCCCACTGTGTTCAGGAAGGAATTTTTCACTGCACAGGCATGGAAAATGGCTGTCCTATGGAGGATCTTCGCTGGATGCTGAGATATTTAGCCCATTGGAATGCATTGAACTGGTTTTCAATGCATTTCAATGGGCTTTTTTTATTTCGCTTGATGAGGATTTCGCTCTACAGAAATTTCGCTGGAATGGATTATCCTCGTCAAACGAGGCACCACTGTATATAAATTCCATGTTCTTTTCCCCTTTCTTGGGGAAAGCTAATATAGCTAGATATAGCCAGCATGTACTAAAGAAACGAAATCTGCCAGTTTCCCACCATTATGCATTTAAACAAAATTGAAGCACAAACTAGGCTGCAGAACAAGGATAAGCATTCTGGCGAGTTCCGGCTATTTGGATTACAACTCCTATTATCCATTATCCCTGGCTATGCTACTCAGACCTGATGGGATTTGCAGCCCAAAACATCTGTAGGGCACCAAACAGCCAGCCTCTCAGCTGGAGAAAGAAGAACTGATCTCTTGTGTGTGTGTGTGTGGGGGGTCAAAATAAAAATGGTGTGCTAAAGTTCACTAAGACAACATGGTGATGGATAAGAGCCTCTCACTATGTAATTTATCCAGGAACATAATGGAATTCATGCATGGTAAGGGCCAGAGCCTGAAAAGTTAAAAAAAAAATACTCCAACTCTTTATAAAGCTCAACACAGCAATTTGTTGTAGTTAACAAGAATGTACTTAGAAACTCACTAGTTTAGAGACTCAGGACCACAGTATTTATAATGATTCATTTCTTTTGGTTTCTTCAACACTTCATTTTATGAGTTCACTTATCTCCCCCTTCATCCAGTAATATATTCCCTTTTAGTTCCGGAGGGGAAAAGATGTGCTAGAAACAAAAAAAGAATGGCCTTCTTTGGTCTCCAGGCACATCGGAAACCAGCAACAGCACTGACAGCAAACACAATTAATTTGGGACCCATCTGGAGATTTGAATTATTTATGTGGATCCTGTTATAATGGAGTGCAACCCTTACAGTTTTCTCTTTGTTTATGTATCAGTTACAGCCCTAGCACACCTTTCCTACAATGAGCTCAAGCATGTTTTCCCATCTCTCCACATTAGTTTCCCAACAACCTTGCGAGGTAGGTGAGGATAAGAGTCCGCAAATAGTCCAGGGTCACCCAGGGAGTTCTTGTGGATCAGTGAGGATTTCAATCTGAATTCCTCATGTCCCAATTTAATACTCTTAACCACTACATCACACTGCCTCAGCAATTTCAGGGGCTCTGGCCTTTCTAGGCTTCCTCACACACACACACAAACCATGTCTGCAAAAATGTGTCATATTCTGCTCAGTTCCAGTAACACTCATACATACTTCCCACACACGCACACACAGCAGAAGGCTTTCAATCAAGTGCTTCTGCAAACAGCATAAAACTGAAACCACAAGAAATAACTACAATTATTATCTGGGAACCAGATAGTTTATTAACAGCTTCTTCAACTTTCTTTTTCCCTTCAGAGAGCCTTTTAAATATATGCGTGCCACTGAGGAAGGTTTTTCCCAAACAGTTAATGTCAAAACAGGAAGATCCAAAGCAGAAGATGGATGACAGCCAGTCTAACTGGGCTTTATCAACCCTCTGCATACATCCTGATATTATGGGAAATGACATTGCTAGAAGCCCTGCAAAGAGAGGCCCCGGGTCGCCCCTGCATGTTACAGTACAGTGTACAAAACGCAGAGGGAATTGCATTTCAGACTTGATATATGAAAGACGATGTGCTTGTGAATGAATAGTGGCTGCACTGAGGGGTCTTTCAAGAATAGCACCCCATATGGACTCAGAAATCACTCTTCCAGTAGCCTGTAAAATATTCTTCTTGCATCTATTCTTCACTCTCACCCCCAAACAATCACAAGGTGTCACAGTGAATTTTTTTCCCTTTTATTTGGTTTAATAAACAAGGGTAGGCATGAGAATTTATATGAGTTCAGTGGGAATTCTGTTCTACACAATTTGTTGTTAGCGCTACACCACTGTGCATAGAGGAGGCAATAAAATCTAAAGCTATCTTACGAGAGGAATTATGATCATCAGCTTCCCGAGAGAGAGAGAGAGAGAGAGATGTAATTTTAAGTGTTTCTTCAAATGCAATCCGCATGCAAGACTGCACTTCCCTAGCTGGCTCACAAAGGCAGGCACATCACTTCACTGCTATTGTGGTGGTTCCTCAATACACCACATTCACTCATGGTGGTCTGAGAGCAAAATAACAGAGTAGAAATAATTAACAAAACACTATACTCCTGTAGATTCACCTAAAAGAGTTGAAGACACCTTTAAGGCAAGTGTGGAAGGAGTTGAGACTGCGGACATATATTTGGAGCCCACTATTCCACCCTAATGTTCTCACACTGACAGCCAAAAGAAGAGTACAGGGGTACCTCGACTTGCGAACTTAATCCGTATTGGAATTAAGTTCGCAGGTCGAAAAGTTCGCAGGTCGAGTCAAACTTTCCCATTGGAATGCATTGAAAACCACTTAATCCATATCTGCTGTTTTCCGTTCGTATGTCTAGGCGCTGTTCGTAGGTAGAGGCATTCGTTCCCATAGGAACTAATGCAAAGCCGGTTAATCCATACTCTACCACTAGGGGGAGAATTTTTTACATTTTTTCTTCTTTTGATCTAAGATGAACTTAGTTTTTAAAAAGGCAGGAAAGGTGGGTGTTTTTTTTTTCAGTTCACAAGTCAAGGCTCCATTTGCAGGTCGAAGCAACTTTTTGCGAACGGAGCCGTTCATAACTCAAATTGTTCGCAAGTAGAGACGATCGCAAGTCGAGGAGCCACTGTACATCTAGTCCAAAATCTGGAGGTCGACAGGCTGGTTGAGGAATTTGGGGGATATGACACTCAGAAAAAGTAACACTGGCAAACTCTTAAGCCAGCTGAATATGTTTATGCTGCCTTGAGAGATTGGGAACTCTAACTGGGAGCTTCATAGTGCAAAGGTTAAACTGCAGTACTGCAATCAAGACTCTGCTCATGATCTGAGTTCTATCCAGATGGGCTCAGGTAGAAGGCTTCAGACTGCTTTAGTTTTCTATCCTTCTTAGGTACGTAAATTAAGTACCAAGCTCGCAGGGGGGAGGGCAATGCATAGCCTGCGTAACTAAATTGTAAACCACCCATAGAGAGCATCAAGCAGTATGGGGCGGTATAAAGACAGCACACTTTGCTATACTTTTAGAGGTCAGAGGTCACAGCCACTGCCACTACCACAATCTACTGCAGGGCCACTGGCAAGTGGGAGGTTAAGAGTGTAAGAATTATGGGCAATCTATATGAGGCATTTGTCTATTAAGAAAATTTGCTATTAGAAAAACACATCCAACAACTCCCCATATGTATCACATCTGAATAAGCCCCAAGCACCCTTGGGATTGGGCCAAAAAAAAAAAAGCAAGGATGCAGTTTAGAACTGATTTAAAATCAATTTAACTCACAATTTAAATAAAAAATCAGATTTTTTGATGATTTAAACAAAAAAAATCATTTTGATTTTTATCCATCCTAATTTAAAACAGGACCCTTCTCATGCAGAATGGCCAAGAACAGTGACCTTGTTTTAAACTCTAGTCTAGCAAGAAGAGAGT